TTTATTTTATTTATTTTATTTATTTTATTTATTTTCTTTATTTTCTTTATTTTAATACAAATTCTCTAAAAATTGTAATCTTTCAAAATTTTAGGGATCTGCCTTATACTCCTAAGTTACTATATAGGGCCCCGGGGGCCGCGATTGGATAATCGCGGCTAATGTTGACCTTTTGGTCGTGTGGGCTAGCGTCCCCAGGTGCTGGTTCTTACACATACTAAAATTTTAATGTAAGTAAAGGGGGCTACTAATGATAATATAGATTAGAGGGATACTACTAGCTTAGGAGTGTTAACTAAGTAGGCTACTTAATATTATTATCTAATTAGCACTGAGCCTAATTAAGAGGGTATAAATAATACATTGTGCAACTGAGTTGCAGGGCCTATAACTCAGTTGTACTATTCAAGGCCTCCCCAGAATCACCGCCTTCCTAACATAACTTAGCGGCCGCGCGAGCGCAACTGCAACTGCAACTAGGCGCAGAAGGTGTCTATCTAACTAATATTAACTCCTGCTGAAATCAAGACTTTACATATAGTTACTACCATTTAATAACAAAGAACTACGGGCAATATTTTCAAGAAAAGGAAGCATAATCCTAATCATCCTATACAAAATTCTTTAATAGCACTATTACCACACTATAAAGTGCTGCATTCATCTTTTGGACCAAGGAGAAAATGAGTCCTAGACTGCGTACCTCAAAAATAACCAAAATACAGCAATCAAAAACTCTAGATGAAGGTGCTAGGCCAAGGCACACCGGTATTGCCTCTTCTCAGAAAAAACACGATACAATTTCACAGCCCAGCAGCCTTTTGAATCACAGAGACTCAAATAATGCTTCACAAACTAACCCAAGGAAAGCCTCAGTATCTTCCCAAAAACCGAATGTCCAGAAAAGGCAACAGATATTGCTCCGCCGAAGGCTGGTGGATTCCTTGGACACCCAGGAAAATAACAGTAAAGAAAGATTGTTTGATCAAACTGCCAAAGAGAAGCTATCTCTGTTGTCTGGTCTCACGGGTACAACTATAAGCAGGAATCAAGTTGGGTTAGATCTAACAACAGTCGCACCAGATATATGCACTAACTCTTCTATTAATAGAGAACCAGAAAGTATGAAAATCAGTCAGAATCAAACTGGAAGTAGGGGAATCACATATGCACGTGAACGATCATTTCTTTCAACTATCAAAACCACTTCTAAGAATGACCACTCGATGGAATTTGGATGCCATCCTAGCTCCGATCCTCATACAAGCCCATCATCTCCTGTTTCGACGTCTCTTGTTGACCAGTCAAGCAATGGCAGAGGGCCTGTTCAAAGCATCCATGAATTAAGACAGGCTGGGGTGGATGCCAGACTTCGAGGCACTTTCGAGTCAGTTTTTGAAGACATTGAGCACGCTGAAAAGTCAAATACTATACGGCGCAGCGGCTTTATACTATTGTGTCAGAAACTTCAGGATGAGAAGTATATACATGGCTTCATCAATGGTGGCTTCGAGCATCGACTACTACTGTCTCTCGACCGTGAATTGGATATTGTCTCTGCAATCCTAGGATTGTGTTGCTATGAATTGATCCAGTCTCGGAGTCATTCGGCCTTGATCCCTTCTATTTCTTCTTGGCCAAAGATTCTGAATCTCACTTTTGTGCTACTTGGAGCGGGGGATGACATTTCTCGCTCGGTGACAGACTCTTGCTTGGGTCTTTCGAGGGGATTGAAGAGAGAATTACAAGACGTAATCTCGCGCATGCGCCCAGTCTTTGGAGAACAGTTTCTATTTATGTCCCCGCGCCTGGCAGCACTTTGGTCTCTCCGATCAACTCTTAAAGCACTACACTCAACAAAGGCCAAAATCCCTTCTATGGACCCTCCTTTTCTACACGCCCTTACTATACTGCTTAATCTCTTAGCAGGTGAAGCCTCTCAAGAAACACCTCATTTACTGGATCTACTATTTCAGATCTTTGAAATTTATGTGGCGATTCCGGGGTCGTTGACCGAAGACCTTCAAAGTGCAGTTGAATTACTTCCGACATTCTACAACCTTCTGGATCCCAGTGAGAACGAGAATTCTCGCTCTAAACAATGCCAGGTGTCTTATATTCGACTGATCCTCAATGTGACTAATAACAGCCCATCTTTCAGTAAACATTTCGCAACTTTGGAGATAGTTGGAGGCTTAGTGAGACTAGTGCAAGTAGAGCTTGGTTCTCTGAAAGATCAATCTGTTATAGAGAAAGATTCATATGATACGGTCATCTTGGCCCTCGGCGCCCTCATAAATATGAGTGAGGGGAGCGAAGCATCCAGGCACCTCCTAATGAAAGCGTCACTGTTCCCATCACCCATTTCCCAGCTTGTTCAATTATTCCAGACAAGCATCAAATCTTTTACAGGGGTAAGAGAAATCTATATCAACCTTATGATGGTTTCTGATGATATCCGAAGGCAGATTCTGTTCCAGAGATCCAGTATAAAGTTGCCATCGGTTACCTATCAGTCTTACTGGCCACCCTTTGTCTTGACAGTGATCTCCGTATCCAAGTTGAGAAGTACCTAAACGGGAATGACCTCGCTGGACTATTGTCGACTGTCGATGAATTCCTACACTACCATCAAACAGTGGAGAAGAACTCTCACAGTGTCGATCCGGCGTATGATTCCATGGCAGGGTTCACAGCCCGCCTTCAGCATGTCGTCGCTCAGCTTCGAGAACCAGGGGCCTGAACAATAATACAAACTGATAAAACATGAGCTTGATTCTTAATGAGCGGTTCCTGTGGATAATAGAATAGCGATATTTACTTCTATGGTTTCTGCCACTCGAAACTAGTCTATATGGGGTTCTTATTCAGGTATGCTCCGTGAGTGTTCAAGCCCTAGAATTATTGACCACCCTATTTTAGAGCAGAACAAAGGATCAATCCAAGAGCTATGAAATCCATGTTACCCCTGCCACAGGCAACGATGTTTAGTGCCTGTATATTTCCCTCCGCTCTTGATAGTTGCTTCAACAATCAAACTTGCAGATTTTGCAGATTCTTGGTAGTCTCAGCCAGGCTAGCTGCTGGTTTAGAAGCCTGCTTGGCTTTAGCTTTCTGAGAAGTGGTTTCCTTCGGCAGTTCCTTTGTGAATGGCAGAAATTCGGGGGCTCCTGGAATATACTTGCGCAGTGGCTCAGGGACCACGATACCCTATCCCATAGATTAGTCACTTGGGGCATATATATATATAGGAAGATCACTATTCACTAACCTCCTCTGTTTGGAAATTTTCAAGGATGCAACAGAGTGTCCGTTCAGTAGCGCAAAGAGTAGCATTCAATGCATGAACATAAATCTTCTTTGCATCAGTAGCCTTTTTGGTACCATAGCGAATGTCTAGGGCTCGTGCTTGGTAATCTGTGCAGTTTGAACAAGATACCAGTTCTTTATACTCGCCCTGGAATGGAAACCACGCCTCCAAGTCATACTTTTTGGCTGCTGCATTGTTTAAAGCACCCGACACAATAGAAACGATCTGGTATGGAAGGCCAAGAGATTGATAGAATCCTTCAGAGGCAGCCATCATTTCTTCAAACATTTGCCAAGAGTCTTCCGGTTTGGTCAAGATAAATTGCTCAATCTGATATGCACTTAGAGAGAGGACACTTGTCAAATAATGATTCGATATTTAGATCTCACCTTCTCAAATTGATGAACACGGAAGATTCCCCAGGCATCTTTGCCGTGAGACCCTGCTTCCTTGCGGTAACAGGTACTGTATCCGGCATACCTAAATCCATGTTAATTGCAAGAATTCGGGTAAGTAATCACAAGAGCTCACTTGATAGGTAAGTCTTTATCCTGAAGCCATTCCCCGTCATGCAACGCAGAGAGCGGCTGCTCCGAGGTAGCGATTAGATACTTGTCAGTAGACTTGTCTTCACTCTCTGTAACCTTGTATAATGATTCATCAAAATCTTCAAGCTGAGCAGTTTTGGCCATGAAATCTTTCAGCATGAACTGAGGGGGCTGGTTGGGCGTGTAACCCTTTGTAAAAAGATATTCCAGCCCATAGTTAATGAGGGCAAGGTTGAGGAATAGACCATAGCCTGTCAAGCAATATCCGCGATGACCAACGATCTTTACTCCTCGCTCGGGGTCATAACCGTCCAGGCGCGTGAGCACTTCATGGTGAGAGAGACAATCTCTTTTCTCGACAGTGACATTTTCTGGTGCCCAGGTTTTCACTATCACATTGTCGTCCTGTTGCACTTGATCAGCTTTGTCCTCTGTCAGCAAGTTTTATTTCAACACAAACTTCATTGTTGCTGACGGGAACAGAGTCATGAACATAGTTCCCAATAGTACGGATCTTCTGATCTCTTTGAACCTCCTTTTCAACCGCAAGCTCTTCCGCCTTTTTCTTGCGCTCCTCTAGCGCAGCCTTCTGCTCCATCAATTCACTCGCATCTTCCTTGTTCTAAAAGAGGGCTTGCGATTAGCTAGTTACATGAAATAGATGGACTTATCATGTTGACTTACCTTCTTCTTCTTTCCAATTTCCTTGAGCAAGGCATTTAGCTGTGAACCCATTTGCATGGCCTCATACCGTGCTAGGATACATACCATTAGAATTACGACATGACTTTGGTACCACTTAGTATGAATACGCACCGCGACGTGCCTCTTCATAGAAGATCGCCACCTCGTCAACAGAAGCCTCGGGAGCAAAGCGTCGGCGTTGGCTCTCTTTGATTTTTTTGGGATCGCCACCCCGTTCAGAGACGAAATCAAGAAGATCAAGCATCTTTAGTTCGTAAATATGGACAATGGACCTACTCGAACCTCTGGGTACCTTCGGTTATCTGCTGGAATGCTTTGATCGTGTATTTTTTTCTCAGCAGTAGAGGGTAAACTAAAGCCTGGTCTCTCTAGTGCCTTTGATCTACCCCTCCACGATTTTTAGGACACGGTTGTGTGGGTCTCAACCCCTCCAAAGACCGCAAACTACCTTACTCTGTAGTACCAAGGCCAGCGTACTGTGGGTAAATAATAGGTACCTAGGATCGTTCATTGCTGTCAGGAATATGGGATGATAGATTATTTAGCTTCTGGTTATATGGTATAAATCACTTGGTTACTATCTAAAAAGTATTTATGTACTTAAATCTAGCATAAATGCGCAGGCTAGGTGCCCTAGGGTTACAGTCCACTCCAGTCCATAAATTAGAGCGGAAGGAGAACCGTTGATTAATTGAAGAACCTACAGCTAGGAGAATAATGACCACCTTCAATGAAGAATCTGCGTTGTCTGACCACCCCTAAGGCCGAAAGAGGGGGAGGGAGTTTAGTAGAAGGGTTTTGTGAGCATCTACTCCGGAGTAGCTCTAGCCAGGAGATGTCACTTGGTTTAATGTTGAACATCAGGGAAACCATTAAATAGGGCCTAGATCTTTTATCTGCTGACAGGCAGATCTGTACTATTACTAGTGCTCATAGGTTTCTTACTACATACGAATAGAAAAATACTATATATACTGAGAGGACAACACTAGATTATTTAATACAAAAATGGATAGTAGTCCTTTATAGTTAATTACCTTATAAATTCATAGTGACTGATGGTATTGGAATTGTTGGTATCTAGGATCTATGCTTAACTTGCTATTGAAAGGTTTGGTACACCATAGTTATGTGGGGATATATAACATCTGGGTGCCAAATTGCCAGTATAGCTAGAGAATACTAAACCTATCTGCAGGGTACTCCTATAGACCCCTAGTCCCTTATATAGCTCCCACTAACTAGCACAGGCAGGTTCTCCACAGGATATGATAGACAATACCTACTTAGGTATACTTCACATATCCAGCTCATCGGACTCTGGGTAGTTTGAACTAGCATTGCTAGGGATGATAATTCAATAAGACATCTGTCTTCAAAACCATTGATTAATTCAAATATGCCTAGTATAATTCTAGGTTAAACAAGTAGTAGAAGGTGCAGGATAGTTAATCATCAAGGGCCTTTTTGCATCAGCTGCTTTTAATGTAAGGAAACACCAGGGGGGAAGCATAAACACATCACTATTGCCAGCGAACCATCTAGTGGTAGGAGTCTTTGTTGTTTAGACCACAGCACTCAATACTCATAGGATACGCCGGGACTGGGTGTTGTATAGCTGCCTGAGATAATACCGCTAGGCTGCTAGCAAATTGTCATAACTATTAGGCTCTGCGGCGGTATCAGTACCCAATGAATGTTAACCAACGACTAAACAATACGTTGTCAACTTCTGGAGCTGAACGGCTATGGTATTATAAGTATAATATATATCCAGGCTTTACCAGTTGCCCGCGGCTCAATATCGAGATACGGTATCAGTTGACGTAAGGATGGGCTCCAAGTTCGAACTTCGCGGCGTTTTTGGTGCTGGGTGATCTGCCATTTTGTGCACTGTACAGATTACGGTCGTCAACACTGTGTCCCTTAAACAGAGTTAAAATAGATAGGCAATAAAGACAGAAGAAGTTTGTTTATACAACCAGACTTATATATATCTAGGTATATAGTTACTAGGCAGCCAGCTATTAATTGCGTGTCTTCTTTCTTGAAAAGGTATCTAGGTGACTAACTAGGGTTCTAGTAGGTAAGGTAGTTAAATAAGAAACTACTAGCTATAATAATAATATTACTCCTAAAACGCTATGAAAATGGTGGTTTATTTCGACTTGAAGTATTTATTTAATACTAAATAAAGTTGCTCTATCCATACCTTACTCCGGGTCCATCCATCCAGGATACGTCAATCGCATACCTGATTGGAGTTTAGTCTTGTCTGGTGTCTGTCAGGCAGTGCCGCACTCGGGTGGCTCCTAAGCTCAGGGGCTGCGGCTCATTGTTGTCTACTCTGAGATAATTAACTTGCCAGCTCATAGTTAGGCTAGCTTCTTTACTCTGTATGAGCCATCACTTGAAAAAATTCTCACCCCATCTACTTTCCTTTATCTGTTAATATAGGAGAATTCATCTAGGGGAACATAAGTTGTGATTGATTAATTAATGATGAAGCCTACATTTTTTAAGTGAAGTAGGTAAGTATTAGCTATTAATAATAAATATCAACTTTCAGCAGCAACCCCTCCTATCTGACTGTGTCTTCTCTAACCATCAAGGATAGTCATACATCTGCCGCCTCGTTGATTTAGAGGCCCGTCATCCTTCCATCCGCTATCAACATTAAACAATTTACATCTCTTCGGCCCAATGGCGCACAGCTATGATGTTGGAACGAGGGCCTGGCAGCCCGACCAGACGGAGGGCTGGGTCGCATCCGAAGTCAGCGAGAAATCAGTTGATGGAGAAAAAGTGCGGCTTGTGTTTGCGATGGAGAATGGAGAGGTTAGCCTAGAGCCCACCGAATAATCTGTTTGCCCTGTGATGGAGATATACTGACGACCTGGCTTTCAGTCAAGGGTAATAGAGACGACTCAATCAGAGCTGCAACTGGATAACAGCTCATCTCTTCCTCCTTTAATGAATCCTGCGATGTTAGAAGCAAGTGAAGATTTAACTAACCTATCCCATCTAAATGAACCGGCTGGTCTGTCCCCCCCCCTCCAACTGACTATCTAGGTGCATTGCTTACACTCCAAAGTATTGCAAGCCATTAAACTTCGATACGCACAAAAAGAGATATATACATACAGTGGAATTGTTCTCATTGCAACCAATCCTTTTGCGCGAGTGGACTCACTCTATGTTCCTCAGATGGTGCAAGTATACGCAGGGAAACACCGAGCCTCGCAGGCTCCTCACTTATTTGCCATTGCAGAGGAAGCTTTTGCGTAAGATGAATATCTTGTTTTCTTTTTCTCATCCCTTTCTAATGTCGCCTGGAATAGAGATATGTTGCGAGACGGAAAGAACCAGACAATCGTGGTCTCCGGTGAATCGGGTGCTGGGAAGACAGTCAGTGCTAAATACATCATGCGCTACTTTGCCACTCGTGAATCTTCAGATCAACCGGGGAAGTATACTCAGGGTAGGGCAGACTCGATCAGTGAGACTGAAGAGCAGATCCTAGCTACGAACCCTGTCATGGAGGCCTTTGGGAACGCGAAAACAACACGAAATGATAACTCATCTCGATTTGGAAAATACATTGAGATTATGTTCGATGAGAAAGCCAACATCATTGGTGCCAAGATTCGGACATATCTTCTCGAGAGGTCGCGACTCGTTTTTCAACCTCTGAACGAACGCAATTACCATATCTTCTACCAACTTGTCGCTGGAGCAGGCGAAGAAGAAAGACAAGAACTTGGTCTTCTGCCAGTAGAAGATTTCGACTACCTGAATCAAGGTGGCACTCCTACAATTGACGGTGTTGACGACAAGTCCGAATTTGAAGCAACCAGGAAATCATTAACCACCATTGGTGTGCCAAGCAACATACAGGCAGAAATCTTTCGGCTTCTTGCTGCACTTTTACATCTTGGAAATGTCAAAATCACTGCTACCCGTACTGATTCATCTTTGTCACCAACTGAACCTTCCCTTGTCCGTGCTTGTGAAATGCTAGGCATCGATGCCAACGAATTTGCTAGATGGATCGTCAAAAAACAATTGATAACGAGAGGCGAGAAAATAACATCAAACCTCACACAACAGCAGGCGACAGTTGTCCGCGATTCAGTCGCGAAGTTCATATACTCAAGTCTGTTCGATTGGCTTGTACATAAGATCAACATTCGCTTGGCAACTGATGAGGTTTTGACTAGAGTCAAGTCTTTCATTGGCGTACTTGATATATATGGATTCGAGCATTTTGCCAAGAATTCATTCGAACAGTTTTGCATCAACTATGCCAACGAAAAGCTGCAACAGGAATTCAACCAACATGTCTTCAAACTTGAGCAAGAAGAATATGTACGGGAGCAGATAGACTGGAAATTCATCGAGTTTTCCGATAACCAGCCCTGCATCGATCTCATTGAAGCTAAACTTGGCATCCTTTCTCTTCTTGATGAAGAGTCAAGACTGCCCATGGGTTCGGATGAGCAGTTCGTGACCAAACTTCATCATAATTTTGCCGCCGACAAGCAGAAGTTCTACAAAAAGCCACGATTCGGGAAATCGGCATTCACTATCTGTCACTACGCCATCGATGTCACATATGAGTCTGACGGATTTATCGAGAAGAATAGAGATACTGTCCCTGACGAGCACATGGAAATTCTGCGCAATTCATGCAATGCCTTCATCAAAGAAGTCCTCGATACCGCTGCAGCTGTTCGAGACAAAGACTCGGCCTCTATGTCTTCAAAACAGATTTCAACTCCAGGACGCAGGATCGGTGTTGCTGTAAACCGCAAACCCACTCTGGGGGGGATTTTCAAATCATCCCTTATCGAACTCATGAATACAATCAACTCGACGGATGTACATTACATACGCTGTATAAAGCCAAACGAGGCCAAGGAATCTTGGAAATTCGAAGGTCCCATGGTCCTCAGTCAGCTGAGGGCATGTGGTGTTCTTGAGACCGTCAGAATTAGCACTGCTGGCTATCCAACGCGTTGGACGTACGAGGAGTTTGCGCTCCGCTATTACATGCTATGTCATTCATCACAGTGGACGTCCGAAATTCGGGATATGTGCCATGCTATTTTGAGGAAGGCTCTCGGGGATGTCAGTCACCAGAAGCAAGACAAGTACCAACTTGGACTGACCAAGATTTTCTTCCGTGCGGGCATGCTAGCATTTCTTGAGAATCTTCGCACATCCAGATTGAATGAATGTGCAATTATGATTCAGAAGAACCTGCGCTGTAAATATTACCGCCGCAGGTATCTTGAAGCGCGAACTTCTATTCTCACAACCCAAGCGTTGGTTAGAGGGTATTTGGCCAGACGAGTTGCAGAAGAAGTTCGCCAGGTTCGAGCAGCGACCACGATACAAAGGGTCTGGCGTGGCCAAAAAGAGCGGAAACGATATAACCAGATCCGCGGGAATTTCATTCTCTTCCAGTCTGTCGCCAAAGGTTTCCTTTGTCGCCGAAACATCATGGATACCATTCTCGGCAATGCAGCGAAGACTATACAACGTGCATTCCGCTCTTGGCGACAGTTACGTGCCTGGCGTCAATACCGCCATAATGTTATTGTAGTCCAAAATCTGTGGAGAGGCAAAACCGCCCGAAAGCAATACAAAACACTACGGGAAGAGGCAAGGGATTTGAAACAGATTTCCTACAAGCTTGAGAATAAGGTTGTGGAATTGACTCAGTATTTGGAATCGCTCAAGCGTGAGAACAAGTCACTGGTTTCGCAGCTAGAGAATTACGAAACGCAATTAAAATCATGGCGAAGCCGGCACAATGCATTGGAAAATCGCTCGAAAGAACTTCAAGCTGAGGCAAACCAAGCTGGGATAACCGCGGCTCGTCTTGCAGCATTGGAAGAGGAAATGGCCAAAGTTAGCCAGCAACATTCGGATGCTCAGGCAACTATCAAACGCCTACAAGAGGAGGAGAAGATCTCAAGGGAATCAATCAGATCCGCAAACCTGGAGTTGGAAGCACTTAAACAGCTGAACTCTAATCATGAAACCGACAAAGCTACCCTTCGCCAACAGGTTCTTGAACTCCAAGAACAGCTGGAACTCGCGAAAAGATCCTTGCCAGTGAATGATGCCAATGGAGAATTGCAAAATGGAAACTCCATTCCCCCACCTGCTACAGGCTTAATTAACCTGGTTTCCTCAAAAAAGCCCAAGCCCCAGAGACGCAGTGCAGGAGCGGAGAAGATCGAAACAGATCGTTTCAGTGGCGCGTACAACCCACGGCCTGTTTCTATGGCAATCCCAGGTTCCACGTTGGGCCGTCAAATTGTTTCGGGACCATCATTATCTCCAGGATTTGATTCTGTCGAGGCTGAACTTGAGAACCTATTGTCAGAAGAGGAGGACCTGAATGAAGAAGTGACAATGGGCTTGATCCGCAACCTGAAGATTCCACTTCCTAGCAGCAACCCGCCGCCCACAGAGAAAGAAGTTCTATTCCCTGCTTATCTGATCAATCTCGTGACATCAGAAATGTGGAATAATGGTTTTGTCAAAGAGTCAGAACGCTTTCTGGCTAACGTCATGCAATCTATCCAGCAAGAGGTCATGCAGCATGAGGGCGATGATGCCATCAGCCCTGGTGCTTTTTGGTTATCAAATGTCCATGAAATGCTTTCTTTCGTCTTCCTCGCAGAAGACTGGTACGAAGCACAGAAGACTGATAATTATGAATATGATCGTTTGCTGGAGATAGTCAAACATGATTTGGAAAGTCTGGAGTTCAACATCTATCACACTTGGATGAAGGTTCTGAAGAAGAAACTCTATAAAATGATAGTACCGGCTATCATTGAGTCGCAATCTTTGCCTGGTTTTGTCACGAGCGAAACAAACCGATTTCTTGGAAAGCTTCTCCCCTCAAACAACAACCCGGCATATAGTATGGACAACCTTCTCAGTCTTTTGAATAATGTGTACAAAGCGATGAAAGCGTTCTTTCTCGAAGACACCATTGTTACTCAGACTGTCACGGAGCTGCTTCGACTTGTTGGTGTCACTGCGTTTAATGACCTCCTCATGCGGAGGAACTTCCTCTCTTGGAAACGTGGGCTCCAGATAAATTACAATATCACTCGTATTGAGGAGTGGTGCAAAAGCCATGATATGCCTGAAGGAACATTGCAGTTGGAACATTTGATGGTAAAGCACCCCCTATATCTGTGTCATACCTAACCCTGCTGACAATCACGCAGCAAGCAACCAAGCTTTTGCAGCTAAAGAAAGCGACATTGAATGATATTGAGATCATTCAAGATATCTGCTGGATGTGAGTATAGCCCTAGAATGTTTTGTTGTTTAATAGCAGCTTGTCTAATATGGCGGATTCCAGGCTTTCACCGAACCAAATCCAAAAGCTTTTGAATCAGTATCTCGTGGCAGACTATGAGCAGCCCATTAATGGCGAAATAATGAAGGCGGTGGCCTCCCGTGTCACTGAAAAGAGCGATGTGCTTCTTTTAACACCCGTGGATATGGAAGACAGTGGTCCGTACGAGATTGCTGAGCCTCGTGTTATCACTGCGTTAGAGACGTACACTCCATCCTGTACGTGATTGTCCGAGAATAATAACGCTAGATACTAATATTTTATAGGGCTTCAAACACCTCGACTAAAACGCCTTGCTGAGATTGTATCTGCTCAGGCTATGGCTCAGCAGGAGAAGCTTGACCTGACAGAGAGCGCCGAAACTCCTACTGACTGATTCCATGCCTGATCCACGGATCTCATTAAGTCTGACAGAATATAGCAACCATGGTCAGAATGGCTGCAAACCGAGGCTTCATTTACGCCTAAGGACCTGAGTGTACTAGCTTTTAGAAAATTTACCCGGCTCACCCTTGCAGATTTAGAGCTTATAAAAAAACCAATCTGCGATTCTCCACGTATCATTTAATCCCCTTATAGTATCTATTATTTGCTCCGTAGTTAGATGCTGCCTAAAAAATTTGGACACAATTACTCTGTGGGGTACTTCCTTACCTAAGCCATAATTGTTCTATCGGGAGCGTTTGTATAACTGCATTATTGAAACATTAATTCTCTTACCTTTGTATAACTAGCACCTTTTCCCTATTAAGTGACCAAGTCTTCACTTTCAATTTAACCAAGTTTTATTCCAGTGGGTATTTTACAGCAGAACCGATTTTCCAGAAATATTGGAATCATGTTTTCCCATAAGAGTATCAATTTCATCACTGGGAACAAGAACAAGCTAGCTGAAGTGAGGGCGATTATTGGCAGTGTCATTGAAGTGGAAAACCAAGCTATAGATCTACCAGAGATCCAAGGCACCATAGAGGAGATTGCCAAGGAGAAATGCCGGAGGGCAGCAGAAATTGTACGCTTTGGTTCATGTTATAATTTGCAGCTTTTTTTTCCTTCCATGCTTTTTGGTCCTTCTATTAAACATTGTAGCCCATGAGGAATATGCTATGACGAACTAATATTAGATAAACAGATAGGTGGACCCGTTTTGACAGAGGATACAGCGCTCGAGTTTCATGCACTCAAAGGATTACCTGGCCCATATATGTGAGCGTTTACAGTGATGTCAAGGATTACCCGCTGACTGATTCGCAGAAAACATTTTCTTGAGGCCCTTGGCCACGAAGGGTTGAACAAGATCCTTGATTCCTTTGATGACAGAGGCGCAGAAGCTGTGTGTACATTTGCATTCAGCAATGGCCCGGGCTCCGAGCCTATGCTTTTTCAGGGGAGAACTCAGGTATGGGATATTCAGAGGAATAATGATACGAGGAGACTCATCTTAGCAATAGGGTAAGATTGTGATGGCAAGAGGCCCAGGAAATTTTGGTATGTGGTCAATCTGAGCCTGTAGCATGCCTGTTTGATTTACATATCTGACCTTTAAGGATGGGATCCAATCTTCGAATATGAGGGGAGAACCTATGCTGAAATGGATAAAGCAGAGAAGGTAAGACGACCCAACGTGTGAAAATTCTTTGAAAAGGCCCTAAAACTGGTTAGAACCAAATCTCTCATAGATCTAAGGCTTTGGCAAGTTTCCAGAGCTGGCTATCTGAAAACAAACCATGACTGCAAGCCCGATGTTAGTCTATTTTAAGACAGTTTGTATTTTCTCTCATAGTCAATTCAACTTTGGCCCTCTGCCTGTGACTTTTTCCACGCTTCTATCCATGAAGATATCCTGGCACAGTTTGACTCTACATCCTCATCTTTCTCGCTATTTAGCATAACAACGATTTCCTCGTCGAAGGCCTCTTGCGCCTCTTCCATGAGAACACCGAATATCTCCGCATCGATATTTTCCTCCAATTTAGCTTCTTTGTATCCCCTGTATTTGAGCTTAGCAAAATTCCGCGGTGAGTCGAGGGCTTCTAGTAGAATACCTTGCCGAGAGACGATCGTATAAAATATCTGTTGAGGGACACCGTAAAACCACAACTAGGTCCACCCAGGACTTGGGAAACAAATCGCAAGCATGCCAGTCAATTAAATATCCACCCAAAGGCATTTCATCTTCAATGGCGTCTAACAGCTGTAAGTAAGAGACAGTCGTCAGCACATGTATATCTTGAAACCAAAACAGGCCCCGCCAAAAAGAAAAAAAAATAAAAAATAAAACAGCATAAGAGAAGCTTGCGAGATACCTTGTCTTCGTCGACGATCCAAGTCTGTAGCTCCTCATCAAAAGATTCGAAACAACCTCGGTCTTTCGCGACCTGGTTGATTGAAAAATGTCGTAGCCCTGTCTCTTGCGCAAGTTGTTCGCAGTGGATAGTCTTTCCCACCCCTGGGGTTCCGGTGATAATCACGTTCGGAGAAGTTCGCATACTGGTCTGGGTCACGTAGATGAGTGGTATTAATTATATCGCAAAGGACGGCGCGTATTTCGCTATTGCATAAATTTGTTCGTTATCTCGGAATAATGGAAGAATCCGCACTTCCTTGGGTCTTATCGATAACCAACCCCCGCTACGAAACTACTACCAAAGTTGCCCTGTTGCTGACCAACTAAGCTAGTTGCAGGAAGCAGTAAAGTCATAATTATCATAATAAGTGTGATAATTTTATAATATAGTATATATAAGATATTTAATATATACTGAACCATGTTGCTTCAAGCGCATGAGTCGGATCAAATCCGGCCATCAAAGCTGGTTCGCTTCACTATCTGTATTATGCAGCACATCCAGGAACCATGCAATGTTCTCAAGTTCGGTTTTGCAGGAGAAAAATGCGTCTAGTTGCATCAAATGTTGCCGAAATAGAGGTCTCGCGTTGTTTCTATTTTTTATCTGTCGATTGTAAATCTCTGTACATTGACAGTCTGCGATGGTCAGTTCTGCTCGAATGCGATATGGTAACAACCTTACTTTAGAACTTCGAGATGCTTGTACTTCTGGAAGTAAGACGTTCCTCTCCTGTAGGCCTTTAGAATAGACTGGGGGTCAGGAGATTTGGTTTTGCCAGTAATAAGCTGGTTGATTTCAGGAAGGGACTTGAATTTCGGGTCAAAGACCAATAGATTGGCGCTGCCATTGTCGCGGATTTCAAAGCCAACGATAGTCATTGAATGGCCTTTGAGGTTTCAGCTGCGTCAAAAACCGTAATATACTAAATTTTGTTGGGGAACATCTCTGACCTTGGTGCTGGAGGTAGATGGGGGGTAGTTCTGTGGTGAAGACCTTTTCTGCGGATTGCAACTGGCAGGCAGACCGGAAATACGCCGCAATGTCTTGATATAACGCATCGCAAGCCCGCAGCTCTTTCGTGCCACTGAAGTGGCTGGCTTCACACCTATGTTCAGTTCAATGGATAGTCATAAAAATGCACACTCGGAGTTCCTACGGAATGCCTAGACTTTGAAAGAACGCCTGGGCCTTGTCCAAGTCAGATATATGACTTACGAAGTTCCGGACCCAGGAAACTTACTTCTGGAGTACCGATGTACTTTCGTGTCCCACGAATGCCCCCTGTTTCAATCCTTCCAGTGGTGTTAAACCCCATATCCCATGCTTTCTCGATAATATCTTGTATCTCGAAGATCGTTGGGAGACCGCTGGAGAAGGACTGGTTGCCATTGATAGTCGAGCCAAGAAGAAAGGATATGAGCATTTGGATATTTCTGTAGCCACAGAATCCTCCTTCCCTCGGGATCTTGAGGATTTGGTGCACATGAGAGCTGCATAGAAAAGAACGTTGAACAGAATTATCTTGCTGACATAGAGAAGCCAGGATTGGAATCACGTCAGAAATTTCATTAGCAGCTTTTTTATGATCCTGCAGTGTCTCATATTGAGAATTCTGGCTCGAGGCGGGATGACTGCCTCTTTCTAACAACTTCTTTAGCCAGTTTGGCATGCGCTTTTCATGGGCCCATGGGCCTAGCTCTGAGCGCTAGACTGGTGTCAGAAAGAGGACGGGTTACGGATAAAGAGGGGAAGGGGGGCTGATTCGTACTCCAAGCTTCTTGACTGGGCCGGTGGTGCCTGGGATGACACTCGAGGCGACCTCTACACTATTTGAATTCTGCAGCGCTCTTCCCAAGATTTCTTTCTTTGATGACCAGTTATTGTTCCCCACTAGATCATCATGAGCCGAGCCTATTGTGTTATTCTGACTCCCACCGCGAATATTGACATTTAAATTGAAGCTCTGTCTTGTTTTGCTGCCTATATTCACGTCCTCGGGCGTCCAAGGTTCATTTGGATGAGAAGCTTCGACATGGAAAAGGGGATCCCTCCATCCTTGTCTTGAGACTTCTTGGCTTACTGCAGAAAGCTGACACTGGTGGTTTCTGTGGCGAAGGTATATATGGTCGGCCATGAGGTTAGATACAGTGTAATAAGGGCAGAGTGGACAGCTTATGGTATCGATTCCATCTTGGTCTGTAGCAGTCCGAGCGATCTTCATTTCGTAATTGCCATGGAGAAATTAATTTATCGATTAGCTCATGTAGATGTTTTGTCGCGTAGTTTGAAGGAGCGAGGAAGAAATGAAGGGAAGAGCATTAAAGATGTTGGATTTCTATCTAGCTGGTCCTTCCTGCTAAGCCATACGGGTTCGCGCCTTGCACGGCCCCGCCAGGGGAACAACCGTCAATTCTCCGCCAGTGGCCTGCATTTCCATCAAAACAACCTAAGAGATCTCAAAGGACTCTTAAGGTACATAGGCTTGATGCAGTCTGTATTGGTGGCAGATTGTAAATGGTGAAATTGGGGAAATAAAAATAATTATAACTAAAGATGCTAGATTTTTATAGCGGCCTTTTTAAGAATATATATATATATTTGTAATTATTAGCCTAGTATATAGATATATTCCGATTTGGTTATCTTCCCGACATATATATCTAGTATATCTTGATACTGGTATGCTCTTTCCTCAATATTAACTTAATATAGAGATTTATGTTGCTGGCGATATCAATTTAGGATGGGAAAATCGATATTCGACCCCTTGGCGGGGCCGTGCAAGGCCCCGGACCCGGATGCGCAGGAGGGGTTCGATGATGGTACCTTAGTGATGACCGGGGAAAGTACAAGGAAAATTGCTGCCTACACCTAAGATTTTCGAAATAGGTAGGTAATTTGTGGTCAGGAATAGGTATTTGCATACACTATAGAGATAGGTAATCATATCATGTTCTAATAAATAGGGAATTTATCATCACTACAAAATATCTATGTTTACTGCTACACCATAGTTTAGGTAGGCGCTACTCCGTAGAAGAATATTATTCCATGACCTGGTAGGCTGTTAGTAATGATCCTCATTAGGACTGAGAAACCATGCATAGTAAGATAGAAGTCAATGATCAAGTTGGGGCTTAACCTGGTTAGGTTAGTAATAATACTTCAATTAGAACTTCTTTCAGGAACCATATATGCAGAGTAAGATACAGAGCAGATCCATGATAGTCCAGTTAGAGAGCTTAGCCTGGTTAGGATTAGTGTCACCTTCTGGGCATCACCACCACCCTCTATGCGTATATGTAGTAGTAGATAGGTAGTATCTACTCTGTAGGTACATCTAGATAGAAAGCAGACATACTATTGTGCATACATCACTATTTTTCCGCATCCGGGAGCTTTGCTCATTGAATAGAAAAGCATAGATATCTCATATTTATAAATAGATTAGACATTATAAAATTATACTTAATTATATCTTACTCTGTAAGTTTATAAGTATATAGTAAACTACAAAGACAAATGTTATGGAGTATAGTGTAGGGATTGGATGCAATTAGTAATTAGCTGCGTCTCATCCCACTTGGGGCCGCAGATAACAATGCTCCGTAGAGGGGCGGAAAAGGAAAAGTTTTTCTGAGTCAAGTGGGTGAGTAAGAAAGCCATGATCTGCTCCGCTTTCGCAACTAGCCACTATAGTTAGAGTCACATCATTTAAAATATTATTGCCTCCCAATACCATAGAAGAAAATCAGTTCTGCATTCTTTTACTAATTTCAAATTAGCCATTATTCAAGTATAACTGCTCTCCACATCCTTTACTGACAATACCCCAATGAGTTCTAAAGATAGTTGGGTGGTGCAGAAGTTTGGTGGGACAAGTGTAGGGAAGTTCGCATTAAACATTGTCGACCAGGTTGTGATGTAAGTATTATAGTCATGGATCCTTGACTAGAGTACATTGCTAATTTTCTGTTCACAATGCAGACAGAGCCTTTTGAAACATAAAGTAGCAGTTGTTTGCTCAGCACGAAGCAATTCCACAAAAGCCGAAGGTACTACGAATCGGTGAGTCATGCCGGTGTTTATTCCTCTCGCTTCGCATGGGGAAGAGAGGTATCCTTTCGAGCGTGTACTGACGATCTTCAATGGTAGCCTGTTACGAGCTGCACGAGACGCCGAGAATCCCCAATCGAAACAATATGTCACCCTCGTAGAGGCGGTCCGGTTGGACCACCTCCAGGTTGCCGATGACCATCTAAAATCCCCGGAACTCAAGGCCCAATTATCCCACGACATCAATTGGGAGTGTGAACGGGTTCTCAAGATCCTCGAGGCTGCTCAGACACTCGGCGAGATCAGCGCTCGATGCGTCGATAAGGTGATTAGTACCGGTGAGAAGTTGAGCTGCCGCTTCATGGCCGCCCTGCTTCAAGATAGAGGGGTCCAATCCGAGTATGTGGACTTGGCTGAAGTGATTGATTTTCCAATTGGAAGCCAAGGCCTTGACCAGGAATTCTACAACAATCTCGCATCCTCCTTCGGAAAGAAGATTGAAGCTTGCGCGGGCAGAGTGCCGGTTGTGACGGGATACTTCGGAACTGTGCCGGGGGGGCTCCTGGATGAAATTGGAAGAGGCTACACCGATCTCTGTGCTGCTCTCGTCGCCGTTGGAATCAACGCTGAGGAGCTACAAGTCTGGAAAGAGGTGGATGGAATATTCACAGCAGACCCTCGCAAGGTTCCGACAGCACGCCTTTTACCAACCATCACCCCGGCAGAAGCAGCTGAACTCACCTTCTATGGCTCCGAGGTGATTCACCCTTTCACGATGGAGCAAGTCATTCGGGCAAAGATCCCCATCCGTATCAAAAACGTCATGAATCCCAAGGGAAACGGAACGGTCATCTTCCCGGATTCTAGCGATTTCGAGAGATCTACGCCGGTTCGTGATCCTAAGCTGTTCCGAGCACGGAGCCCCAGTCTTATGTCGACGCTACAAAAGCCGAAGCGACCCACCGCAGTGACTATCAAGCACAAGATTCTCGTGATCAATGTACATTCGAACAAAAGATCCTTGTCACATGGGTTTTTTGCGGGGATATTCTCCGTTCTTGACCGGTGGCGTCTTTCTATCGACCTTATATCCACCAGTGAAGTGCATGTGTCGATGGCTCTCCATTCAGAATCACCGCTACTGAATGGCGTTGGGCCGGACGAGTACCAGATCATTGACGACGACCTCAAAGGAGCGTTGCAGGACCTCCGGAAGTATGGAACAGTCGATATTATCCCGAATATGGCAATTCTGAGCCTCGTCGGAAAGCAGATGAAGAATATGATCGGAGTTGCCGGACGCATGTTCTCAACACTGGGAGAAAACAGCGTCAACATCGAGATGATATCCCAAGGTGCGTATTCTTTCTCATCGAGGCTTGTCTTCAGCGGCGATTGCTAACATATTCAATTCAGGTGCAAGCGAGATTAATATATCCTGTGTCATCGAAGAAAGGGATGCTGATCGTGCTCTAAATATAATACACACGAGCATGTTCACATTTCTAGAGTAATAAAAGCACATTGTTATGAGAGCCTAAGACAATAGAATATCATAGAGTTTCCTCTTGTTATCTTTCTTTTCGCCTCTCCCCCTAAGAATTATCTATGTATAGATTGTGTAACTCTAATGATTCTATATAAAAATTATTCTAGGATGGTATTTATCATGTCTTTTGCAGAATGGTTAGCTGCATATATATATCTCATATGTATTCTCATATATTCTATTTTGAGAATAAACAATGTCTGGAGTATATGTTGGTGAAAAAAGGCAATTTTGGTTCCTTGCGTGTCAATCAAGATCAAAGCCAGGTGCAGTCTGTTTTAGATAATACCTGCAGGTGATTTACAGAGGGATCTCCCATGAACCCCGATATATTTAGAAACGGAATCCTTCTTGATGAGAGATAGCTATCTGGCTTTTCTTCAGACATAAGTGGTCATATATAAATTAGCCTTTACCGTCCGTGACCTTAGATGTGGTCAACTGCAAGGTACACTGCAGACATGCTGCACTCCTGCTGATATGAAACATCTGCAACTTATCTGTCAGCGCAAGGTTACTTCTTCATACACCCTAACCTCCCTGATAGATGTATCGGGATCTCAATCCATACGCGATTAGAGAAGTGGAGATATACTCCATATGTAACACCTACCTACCTAAGGGACCTGGTAGATAGTACCGTGTATAGTTAACCTAAATGAAAAGAAATAATTCAATATAACCAGGTGTACTCCGTACTTTACTTTTTTTTCTTCAGAAATAGTTACAGACTGACTAGTCATGTAGATGGAACTTTGAGAATTAATTTAGGTAGGCAGGCTTAGAGGATCTACCTCTAGTGGCCCCCTACTTTGTATCAGGACCTTGCGGAGTAGTTATCCATCTTAGTTACCAAGTTGACTTACAACCAGTAGGTACCTAAGTATCCGTAGTAAGGACTAAGGAGCCTAGGCCAGCTTACTACCTGATGTAACTAGTTAACTAGTAGTTCCTAGGTAATTTAGGTATATAACTGGCTAACTAGCGAATACATATCTGTAGGACCAGAAACATCCAGTACTACATACTACATAGTGTTTTTTGGATCCCTAACTTGCATTTCAAGGACTTCAGTCTATGCAGGAGGTATTTATGGAGTGTATCTCCATATTTAATCAGAGTTAGGTGCTTGTACCTATTAGGTTTTTGTTTAGTTATAAAGGTTAGGCAGGTAACTAACTACCTAACCTAGTAGTTAGTACCTACAGCAAGTACTCCGTACCTACCTAGTACCTTAGGTAGGTTCAACTTCCTAGCAGATGAATGAGCAAGGAGAACCAGTAGTCTCACCCTTGCCAGACAGGTTCTTAGAAGATACCCATGTATACAGTACTGTGACACAACTGGGCCTGGGCGGTCAGCCTGATTTTTATGATCGACGCGTCAAACGGACCGCGTCGTGACCATACGTGACAGGACGCGACTCGGATGCCAAGTATCCCAGATGCCAGCGCTGGACCGTCATTTCCCATTCCTTCGTTCAACTTGATTCTCTTCCCCCCCCACCCTGTGCCGAAGGCCCAGAGTCCTTGTCAGGCAACTCATACGGAGACGAAGAACTCCCTCTCCCCCTTCCCTTGATATACCCTCCACCCCCTTCGTCCCCTCCAGCGAACTCATCTTATCTTGTCTTGTTTACCCGCAACTGCCTTTCGCATTAATCAACTTGCCCGTGTGTGTGATAAAAGCGATTTGCAATTAGGAGCTAGATGCGCCTTTAGCGCCCTGTGGCCCAATCGCTTCCCGATCCCCGTACGGCTGACTATTTGCACCCAGTGCATGTCTATCTGCACAGGCAACATACCATCCGAGTTTCTCTTGATCATAGTGCTAGCCAGAGGATTGCCGCAGTCACAGTATCATCGCAGTGAACCCAGTGCCATAATATCTGTAATTTCCATGGCACACAGCACACCAGCACGAACCACAGCTGAATAGTCTTCCTCATCCACTCAGACTAGCGCCGATCTTCCCGCCTATTACCTGGTACCCAACAATAATACTCGCAAAACAAAGTCTGACCTGCGACGAGATTCTCTTATCTCGCAAACTGTGTTATTTTCCGCGTCTATACGCGTCTCGACCAGCATAGCGCCTCCAACCGCTGTCTATTACTGATTTTACAGCGCCTGGATATGGAGTCGACGCGTCCCATATCCCCGGCGCAGACACTGCCGGGAACTACCTCGGACCATGGAAGGAGCACACTGAAGTCACAATCTAATCTTCTGCAACCGTCATCTATGCCCTTTGTCGCGACCGAGAGCACCTGCAATAGCGATTTACTCTTGAACCCTCCGCCAGCCGGCACTCATCGGCCGTCACCGCGAAAAGCGCCTGGCGCGCTGAGCATCTCCGATTCCAGCAGAGGAAAACTGGGCTTCGTCCCGATTACAGCACCTGTTCCTCCAATGTCTACGACCGATTCGCCGGCAAAGAGACAAATGTTCCCAGTATATCCTACGGCCCATCAACAACCGATGTCTCAACCGGCTCTCTTCACCACCTTTTCGACTGCCAACCCCGAGAGGCCATCAGTCAAAAAGAATGACATGGCGAATGAGTCGCTCAACGAAATGTTTGCCGACTTTCCAGAACCAGCATATGGATCCAGGTCCCTGAAAAGGACACTAATGGAAGCTGCGCCGTTGAAAGAAAGGGTAGCAAAAAAACAAAAGCGCGATGAAACAGTCACGGTCCACCTGCCGGACCCTCATGATATGCCAACGATCGACGACGACGGCATAAAGCCACCGTATAGCTACGCCACGTTGATTGGCATGTCAATTCTTCGAGCACCGAGTCGACGTCTCACTTTGGCACAGATTTACAAATGGATTTCCGAGACCTTCTCTTATTACAAGTACAGCGACTCTGGATGGCAGAATAGTATCAGACACAACCTCAGTCTCAACAAAGCCTTCATCAAACAGGAACGCCCGAAGGATGATCCTGGGAAAGGAAATTATTGGGCGATTGAACCTGGGATGGAAGCCCAATTCTTGAAAGACAAACCTCTTCGCCGTGCTACAATGTCCAGCATTCCTCTGCCTGCTGTCCCTCAACCCGAACCTGCCTCAACTACGCGCCACCCAGCTACTGCAACCTGGATAGTCCCTCCTCCCCATGTGCAGCTCCCAAAGGTTCCCAAAGATTCAAAGAATGTCGACCTGTCCTCCGATGCCACTATACCGGCATCGGACCCAGAGCTCCAAGAGGAAACGCGTGACGACAGCACAGATAATGTTACTACCCAATTTGTGCCTCATTCCTCCCCACCTCAGGCAATTCACTCTTCCCCCCCTGTTGCACCTCAGTTTGTGCGTCAAGGAACTCCTCCCACTCCACTTCATGCGACAAAGTCGTCCGCTATCATTTCTCAATCACGCAAGCGCAAGGCAGCTGTGATGAATGACAGTGGTTATTTTTCTTCTCTTGAATCGTCTGCAATGAGACCGAACAAGGCTGGCCACATCTTGACGTCGGACATTGATATCGAACCTCCACGCATCAAGAGGGGACGTGCTGAAGAGGAAATTGCTAGAATAAGAAGCTCCTCTCATGATATTAGTCCAAGCCAGGCAGGAACCCTGAAAGATTCTACCTTCCTGATCGGTTCTTCTCCTCTTCGTGGCGAATATGTCAGCATGCTACCACCCCCTCTTACTCCAGTAATCAAGTTCAAGAAGCCTACGAAGCCGCCCCCATCAGTGTCTCCCAATACCAACCTACGGAATCATCGAAAGAAAATACAGCAGATGGTCAACTCTCCGATCAAGCATTTGGGTCTCACGGACGAGGACCTTCCATGGAGCCCGGCCTTCAACATTCAGGATGAAACGTTCACTCCGGCAGAGACTTTTCATCCTGGGTTCGACGTCTTTGCAGACTCAACCACTGAAAATATGTCAATCGCAGCATACGGATCGCCCGAGAAACGTTCTGCTAAACGTACACGAATTGAGGGTATAGGAACAAACCCACTGGCAGACATCACCTCAATGAGCGTGAATAATAGGATGCTGCTGCCTCCTATGTCAAATAACAGATCCAAGTCCCTAATGTTTCCCGAATCACCATCGAAACTGCCGGATGCCAGCCGATTTATCGATACTGATCACGATGACTTCTTCTCATTCCATTTATTTGACGAGAGCCAAGATGAAGTCAATGGAGTGGATCTGCTTCAAGGGTTTCAAAAGATCGGAGGTGCAACTAGAGAAGATATCGTCAAATCGAAGACTTCTCGACCACAACTTTGCCAGAGAAGTCACACGTCCCTCCTTTGATTACATTTTCAGGCTTCATCTTTCATGATAAATTGCTATTGTCATATTGTTTCTGCTTTCTGATTCCCCCCTCTTTTTCTGAATATGTTCCCTCTATTTATTTTTTCTATGATCACATGGCTTTCGCTATCCCCTTGAGCACAATAATGAGTTAATGATAGGTTTGGTGCGACTGGGGTTGGTTCTTTTTCTTCTTTCTTCTCATGCCTCTGCCCTCTGTGTTTCCGGATTTTTTAATCGTTTGATTGGAGTTGTCTGATTTTTTTTGGGATTGATCTTCGGATGCTGTGTTTTGACTGGCCGGATTTTGGATGATAATGTTACGACTTTGACGACACCTGAATGTACATGTGTATGCAACGGCCTTACGAGTTCGATATTGCTGTCTTGTGTGATTACCTGGAGTTATCTTTTTCTTGCAAGTTGATATTGAATGCGCAGGCGTCGGCAAATCTTAATGAAATTGTTTCTTAATAAAGTATTATCTACTGCTTCAGTCATGATACATCGTCGACAAATAGAACCCGTATGATTTTGCATGGAATATCTCGTTATTCTTTCGTCACGGTATCGTCTCCTTCATGAAGTCAATGACGTGAATAAACAAACTCGAGCATTGAATAAAGAGTATACAGTGTCGTAGTCTGCAACACTGCAAAACTGGAATGCAAACGCCGCCTGTCCGCACTGCCTGGGTGAACTCCTAAGGTGGATGCGACTTAATGTCAAAACGCCGAAATAAAACTACAGAAGGGATGAAGGTATATGCTAATCACTACTGGCACAACCTCGACAGCCGCAGCTGACGCACTGAATGACTTGATCTTCTTTCAGTTGCGCTTTCGGCACCCGGCAAATGCATGTAGAGTTGAAGTTAGTCTCTTTTGTTTGAATACAGCGCAAGCAGCATAACTGTTATGACTTGTAAGCCCTACTAGCCACCATTTCTAGAGATAAGGAGCTGTGCTCTGAGACTTCATACCTTTTCGTATCCCTGCTTCTTCCATTTTGCAATAAGATTCGCATCCGCGTAGTTGTTCTTGAGCAGCCAGTCATATAACTGCTTCGATATAGCCTCCTTTTCGTAATATAACTCATAGATATATCTTGAACCTGGTGCACGAGGAGATCGACGGTCAATATCAAGTAGCTAGTAACACGCCTGCGGATCAGACATGTGGGTTGGTGGAGGCTCACGTTGATGGCTAATTTGGAAGATGGGCCAGAGAACTTCATGCTTCTTTTTCCCTTCATGAGATGCATTTTCGGCATCTTTCATCTTGTTGCTAAACTCCAGCAATGTATCTTCAATATCTTCAAACCCAGCCGGTGGAGTTTTACGACTGCGAGATGTGCGGATAGGAGGCATGGTCGACGGTCTTCGCTGGGTATTAGAAAAACAATAGAAAACTGAGGCTGATAAATCACCAAGATTCAAGTGTGTCTGTAAAGAGAAAGCTCTATAATTTATGAGGAGCCACTAATGTTATTCATCAATGCAATCATTCATTCGAAGTGTTTTGCCGCATTATACCGCCATTGGACGATACCGATCTTATGCGGGTTCTCGTAACGGAAGAATAATCATACAGAAAATCAAAGAGACCTTTCCTACAGTTCAAGTCCGAATTTAGCAGAACTGTAATAATCCAATTCCCAACGCCCTTCCACGCCATCGGAACGAATCTTCGAATCAATCAATATGGACGCCGAACAAGCCCAAGTCGACATCTCGAAGCTCAGCGATGCGGACAAGAAAGAATTGAACCAGATTCTGACCAACGAAGCGCAAAAGTCTAGTATCCAGCAGAGTATGTACTTTGCGCCCGCGAATCAGGTTTCCGTGCCTGTCTATTGTGCCATTCTATCTCTTGGATAACTTCCGCTGACTTTGGACCGCAGCTGTTCATCACCTTGCCGACGTTTGCTGGAAGAAATGCGTTACTGGGAAGATCACCGCTGGTCGTCTGGACAAGTCCGAAGAGAGCTGTGCACAGAACTGTGTTGAGAGATGGATGGATACAAACCTGGCGGTCCTGAAGCACCTGGAGACGCTTCGTGGCCAGTGAGTTAGTCATGTATAATAGATATCAATTAGAAGTAGTTACAGCTATAGCTGGAACTCGGGAAAAATAATTACAGATATTGGGAAGGGCTGCTGTAAGATACCATTATAATAAAACTGAGCGCACCGGGGCTGCGAATATCAAGAACGACGGGACTGCTATAAATCCTTTGTTCGTCCGTCTTTCCTCTAGATCTACATCACTTTGGGTTACTGGACATACACTAAACCGGTCGAGCGCAGTCGAACACTTGAGTATATGCTCTATTAAAATCGTAGTTCAAGGATGAATGCGAATGATTGAGAAGTATTTTTATTTTATCTTCAATGTAATCATTCAGCCTGCATTTAAGCTTTTGCTGCCAGATGTATGACTGCTATTTGAGAAAATCACCACGCAAGAACCATCTAGCCCCCCCCCCAAAAGGAAAAGAACCGTTTAAACAATCGCCAGCTTAGTAGCGGCAATGTCGAGAGCGTCAACATCAGCGGTCAGACGAGCGAAGGCCTTCTTCAAACCATCGGGTCTATACACTGATTAGCCAATCTACCCGCCCAATAACTAAAAATTTAAATCCATCCGTACCTGATCAGAGTGTTGACCTTGACGGTGTCAACGTCGTACAGCTTCTTAAGAGCCAGCTTGATTTGGCGCTTGTTGGCCTTGGTGTCCACGATGAAGACCAGCGTGTTGTTCTCCTCAATCTTCTTCATGGCGCTCTCGGTGTTGAGGGGATAGAGGACGACCTTGTGGGCATCGAGGCGAGCCTCGTGGGGGATGGACTTGCGGGGGTATTTGGGCGACCGCGAGAGCTCGAGGGTCTTGGGGCGGTGGAAGGTGGTCGAAGTACGGACCTTGCGGACCTTCTTCGAGTTAAGCTGGTAATGATTTCAGCACACATGTATCACTTTTGCTTCTGAATTGTCTTAAACGTACGCCTGCGCGGACCGCCTTGGCAGCGGCGCCAGCCTTGCTGGTCTTGCCTGTGAAGAGAGGTCAGTTTCTGATATTCAAATTTCCAAATAGCCAAATTTCAAAAGCAGTCGCAAGATCCGGTGTAAGACGAGAATCCGAAAAATTGAACATATATCAGGAAGCACTATTTTCGGAACAAGCTCCTCCATAGTTCACACTGTCGTCTTTTTTCGGCCTGATATCGCAAATTCGAATTCTTCGTCCCACAATCCGAAGTATCCATGGACGATTTTGAAACTTGAAGCGGAAATAAAATCAAGACATATGATTCTGCAAGAGTCTGACTGTACCTTGCTTGTTGTCTGCCTTGGGGGCCATGGCTGTCGTTTGGCGTTTTCGTGGTGATTGTCGCAGTGTCGAAAGTCGAATTCTTTGCAGTAATTATTTAGCGAAAACCCTAGAACTGTGTGGGTCACCTGACTCCCTCTGTGAGGCTGTGAGGCACTGGGCAGAGGCACTGAGTGGGTATTTCCTACCGCTTGCCTAAAGAGGAACAGAGTTTTCGAGTATCAGTAACTTTAAAATTTAGAAATGCGACTTCAGTATCAACTATCATTCGGCCAATGACTCTTTCTCAGTTCTCGTATACTTCGTCGGTTTTGTCTACGAATCTTCATTTTCATTCCTTAGTGTGATATGGGGGGGATGCCATGTTCTAAAAAGTCTCGGTCTAGGCGGCCGAAGTCACTGTCACATTCTCGTATCCCAACATTAAAAGCAAAAAGCACCGGCTTATCATCCAAAGCAACGCGGAATCTCATCCGGTCTCATCACCGACTCATGAAACAGCGAGCGCAAGCTTTGAATTCGGGTAATCAATCTCTTGTCAATGACATCGACAAGCAAATCCAGGAGAATGGGGGTTTGGAAAGCTATCAACTTGCTAGCAAACTTGGGCAATCATCTGATCGTGGAGGTGACTCCAGTAAAGTCTTAATTGATTGGATTGGCGCTACACTGGGTCAATTCAAAAACACCTCTGCCAAACTTCGGCTATTAGAGGTAGGGGCTCTTAGTACTCGGAATGCCTGCTCCTTGGTACAAAGCTTAGATGTTACAAGAATCGACTTGAACTCGCAGGAAGCTGGAATACAACAACAAGACTTTATGGAGAGACCTATTCCTCAATGCGAATCCGACCGTTTTCATTTGATTAGCCTTTCCTTGGTGCTGAATTATGTTCCAGATGCTACGGCTCGAGGAAATATGCTGACGCGCTGCGTATCATTCTTGACAAACGTGCTTCCACCTCAAGCCCCCACTGCCTTTACGCCATGCGTTTTTCTTGTTCTGCCTGTCGCATGTGTGGATAATTCTCGGTACCTTACGGAAGCTAGATTGCAAGAGATCATGTCGAGCTTGGGATTTCTGTTGAAGAATAGCAAGAAGACCAATAAGCTGGTTTATCAATTATGGGAATACCACGGCAATCCTTCACCAAAACCCTTTAAGAAGGAACTTCTAAGTCCGGGAGGCTCGAAAAACAACTTTGCCATCATTGTTCGTCGCGATTAGGTGCGCGCAGACGCTACTTCTTCCATGTCTGGATAGAAGTACAGTGCTCACACGACATTTTTCGGTAAAAACGCCCAAACGGTACCGATGACAGCCATGACCGATGAGATGACGATGAGAATCCAATTCAGAATGCGTTCGCCCCGACTGATTTCTTTACCGAATATCTTCAGATGAAACGCGAGGGGCAGTATGATGCATATCGTGAAACATAAACAGGACCCCATCAAGGCCATGATCCTGTCGAAGGACGGGAAGACAACGGACATCAAGACAATGAAGATCACAACTGAGATTCGTACAATCACCTTTGAAGCCTGTTGAACGGTCGCCCTCGATCCTTCAGGACGGTTTGTTGCCGCTTCGAGGCGAGGCTCGAGTCCACATAAGACCTCGACGGTAGCCACCAAAGGCCGAGAACTAGGTTGCAGTCAGTGCTTTGAGTACCATGATAGGATGCATTTAGCGATGGCTCACTTTAAAGGCACTTTGGTTATCGGAATGATCGAAATGAAGATGATAATGCAAATAGACAAAGCTTGTGGATACTCGCTTGACATCAATATATTTGCTGTTATCTCATCTCTGACTCCTTCTCCAAACATTAGCCAGCCGATTATAGCCATCGCACAATCTAAGGAATACTATTTAATTCACTGTTAGAATAGAGCGACTGAGTAGCCGAAAAAGATTTTTCTTTGATGACTCACAGTAAAGAGGTAAGTAACCCATAGACTCTTGCCATATTTCTGGGGGTGTCTCATATCTCGGTAAATGTTGGGAAAAACTCCATGGCCGCCCCAAGGCGCTTCAGTATGGCATTAGAACGAGGACATGCTATTCTCGAACTCAAAGGAATTCATATTCACGTACACATTATGAGGCCAAAACTGAGCGGTAAACTGGCCCAATCGTCAGGAAAGAGAGAAGTCCTGGCAGGCTGAATAAGGGAGCCAGGCGCATCGGGTTTGATAAAACCATCAATGCATGTAAGAATCACAACTGTAAAATGTCAATGTAATCGTTATGCAAGTTGGGTTTAAAAATTGAGAAATACTTAATGTGCAAGAAATGATTCCTAGGATACTTGTGACGCTCAATAGTCGTAACGGCAGGAAACTGAGTGGAGCAAGGATAAGACCGCATATTATCTTCCATTGAAGAATACTCAGGCTGGGGATCAAGACATAAAGGCTGTCTGCGAAGAGTACAACGAGAGCGACGCATGCTCCAACAAGCTCCAAACAGAACAGGAGGCTAGTTATCAGACGTGCTTGAGGTCCAAAACTGATGTATGCCAAATCCGCATACGTAAGTAGGCTATGATCAACATCCAGACATTTTGCGAGTATCTTAGCAGTGTAAGATGTTGTAACTGCTGAGAATAGTAAAAAAGATAACCCCAAGAGCCAACCAGCCTGCTTCATTGCTAGTGGTAAGCTTAACAGGCCTACGCCTATTAAGACATTAACCGAATTAAAAATGGTCTGCGGCACAGTAGACTGGCCAACAATGATAGTTTCGGCTGTACCGTCTTCGTGCTGAACTTGCTTGATAACTAGGGGCGCTATCTCGTCGTCAATTGGGTTCTCTGTCTGGGTCTGGTGCCCTTGGTGAAGTTGATACAGATGACGAGTGATCCCATCGCCCCCTCCCGAGGAAATCGTTCCGTATGAAGTCCCATACAGCCTGTCAAAAGATAATCCCAACAAACTGGAATCCACAAAAGGTCTTCTCGAAGGCCCGGGGTCGTCAAAATTCTCATTTTCTCCCGCTTCTCCAGCATTTACACCTGCAGATCCGCGATGCGTTCGAATCGATTGGCTGAGTGAGCCAGACCTTGAACCAAAACCAGCACCTGTCGCGATAGCAATTTCATCTTCAGAGTCAGTTCTGATGAATGACGGACGATGCGGAATAATCTCAGGAAAGCCAGCAGCCCTTTGCCATGACCGCGCGAAGTTGTCTATGCTGTTTACACCTCCAACCTGTCGAATTCGGGTAGAGAACGATGCGGATCTAATCGGTGGTTCTTTCAATTGACAAAATCCCAAATTAATGAAGGAGGATTTGGCATGTTACCTTTGCCTCTGGATACCACTTTGATAAGACGCAGAGTGAGAACCGTAGCTTCCTGGAACCCACTGTCCGTATGCAGCTGATGACAACGCGGAGGAATTGGGAGAGCCTGGCAGCATTGCACTGGGGCCTCGCTCTGTGTGGCTGGTAGTGCCAACATCCTCATCATTTGCCGTCGAATGCATTTTCGTTTTCCGAGCTCGTCTGGTGACAGAGCATTCACCCAACTCGGATTAGATAGTATAGAGTTTCCAATCTCTTGTCTCACCAAGACCGTCACCAGAGCTCTGCCAGACTCTAATAATTTTATAACACGAAAATTGACGCTCTTAAGACTAAAGTTGCAACAAGGAGAAGGGAAATGGATCAATTCAGGTTCTATTCAGATCAATCTATTAAAGCCAGGAAGTGGAGTGGGGTCACTGATAAGCTCTTCTAATTTCCTGGTGTCACTCAGTTAACTATTAACTAGCTACTAGTTAGCTTACTTCCAACTTATTAATTAGATCCATGGAACTGATATGCATCAAGCTGTTTTGTTATGCGTTTTATTCATATGTACGTACCATTTAGAAGTATCAAGTCAAGCTTGAAACTCTCCGAGTCACTACTATGAGGGTACCTAGTTTAGGTAGCTAGTAGCTAGCTTCCTCTCGAGAGAACCTCGTGAGGTTATCAATATCGAGACCTGGAACCGGAGCCGGCATTTATTACTTGTCCTGAGATCTGTAGAAACGAGCCAGGGATATTGGCATATCGCCTCAGTAGAGATTCAAGCCAGAGAGATATTTAAATACTCTATCTATTTATTATTTTGTGTCAACCATTCAACCGAGGACTCCGATAGCAATAGATGATTAGATAGATTACCTGTTTCATGGGCTGTAACTAGCCTATAGCACCATAGCGTCATGCGTGCCTGTGGGTCACGTGCTAAATACCTTATTACATAATATTCCTTGTTCCTGCCGCCCCACGTCGCACTGTGATGAAAATTGCTACACCCCGCGGACAACACTCATCGGCGCCAAGGTACACTTCCCTCACACGAAGTCTCCTTCTTTGCGTCCCGTTTCTTTCATAATCATAAGAAGTCGTATTATACGTTGTTCTGTTTGTCTCTGAAAGGTTTTCGTTGCCTAGCGGTGCTTTGATTTCACTCATCAAAAAGACCTCTTCGTCTTCATACCATTGTTGCCTTGCCCAACATGAGCTCGGCTCAGCAGGCGAACGAAGCTGAAAAGAACATCGAGATATGGAAGGTTAAAAAGCTGATTAAACGCCTTGAAGCTGCCCGGGGAAATGGCACCTCCATGATCTCTCTCATCATTCGTAAGTATCCGGTTTTCGGGAATGGAAGCGGACACTCAATAACGTAATAATAGCCCCAAAGGATCAGATCTCTAGAGCCGCGAAGATGTTGGCTGAAGAATATGTACGTTTTACCAGCTAAAAAAGCTACATGATACATGCAGCTCGTGTCTCCTGCCCAACAACTCGTGGGTTATATCAGCCCGTGCTAATCAACAAACGTTCTCTATATAGGGTACTGCTTCAAACATTAAGTCTCGTGTCAATCGACTCTCTGTCCTTTCTGCCATTACATCCACCCAGCAGCGCCTGAAGCTCTATTCCAAAGTTCCTCCAAATGGCTTGGTTGTATACTGTGGTGAAATTATTACACAGGAAGGCAAGGAGCGCAAAATCAACATTGACTTTGAGCCCTTCAAGCCAATCAATACATCCTTATACCTTTGTGATAATAAGTTTCACACGGAAGCATTGAGCGAACTTCTGGAATCGGACCAGAAATTCGGCTTTATTGTCATGGACGGAAATGGCGCCCTTTTCGGAACCCTGAGTGGAAATACCAGAGAGATTGTCCATAAATTCAGTGTTGATCTTCCTAAGAAACACGGTCGTGGTGGTCAATCTGCTTTGCGTTTCGCCCGTCTTCGTGAAGAAAAGCGCCATAACTATGTGCGCAAGGTTGCTGAGTTAACTGTCCAGAATTTCATCACCAACGACAAGGTCAACGTTGCAGGAATCATCCTAGCAGGTTCTGCTGACTTCAAGAATGACCTGAATCAATCCGATATGTTTGATCAGCGCCTGCAGGCGAAAGTTATCAAGGTTGTTGATGTGTCTTACGGCGGCGAAAACGGGTTCAACCAAGCCATTGAACTTTCCTCCGAGACTTTGGGCAACGTCAAATTCATTCAAGAGAAGAAACTGATTGGAAAGTACTTCGAGGAAATCAGTCAGGACACTGGTAAAGTTTGCTATGGTGTCGAAGATACCCTCAAGGCTTTGGAATTAGGTGCCGCCGAAACCCTGATCGTTTACGAGAACTTGGATGTTACCCGCTGGGTCCTGAAGTCACCAGAAGGCGCCGAAATAATTCTCCATACTACCAAGGCTCAAGAGGCCAATCGCGAGCCGTTCATGAACAAGGAAACGGGCCAAGAGATGGAAATTGTTGACCAAGGACCTTTCCTTGAATGGCTTGCTGAGAAATACAAGGACTTCGGTGCTGCGCTCGAATTTGTTTCGGACCGATCCAGCGAAGGTAACCAGTTCGTCAAGGGCTTCGGTGGTATCGGTGCTATGCTTCGATACAAGGTCAACTTTGAACAGCTTGCAGACTATGATGACGATGATGAATTCTATGACGGTATGTCCATTTCAATGCGCTCCACGATTCGAAATATCTCGAGCATATCTCTCTAACATTTCTAATAATCTAGATTGACGGTCTAGCAACCTCGCAGTGAGCGAGGATGAGCGACCCGGTATCCCGGAAGTTAAACTTTCGACGGTTCTTCCTGCAAGTCGCAACGGTGACTATCAAGACGAATCCAATACTTCGATGGTGCATGCCGAAGAGTCGTGTATTCTAAGCTCTATGAAGCTGCTCGAAGGTACACTGTCCTAGTCCCTGTTACGGCCTAGTCTGCTTGTAGTCTGCTAACATTTGTCAGCAGGCACATCCAAACTTCAGGGTGTAGTCTTCGAGATGAAATATTAAGATGAATAGGTGGAGGATCAGATCTATCTTGAAACCTAGCTCTTTATTGCATTTCTGTCAACAGCCATGCAGTATAAGCCAGGGTATTAAATTGCGTCTTTTTTAAACCTGTTTTCCGTACTGGTATGGTTGGGTCTTCTAGTCTGCCGTGTATTATGCTGTCCATGCATTCGCTACGAGGAGTGTAAACAAGTGTACGGGGCCTGAATTGATGACAGTATGTAGTTACGTTTTCGTTTCCAAGCTGGCGGTGCGAATTAAATTATAAGTTCACCCATTCCCAATTGATCTACATTTGAAATGACTTGGGATATGCTCGCAAAGCAACTAAAATAGATAGATAGATAGATAGATATATATATATATATCCATTTGCAGTAGATAGAGTATCACCAAGTGGAAGCTTGGTGTAGCTAAAAGTATCCACTGAAATATGTCCGCTGGTTGTTGAATATCACGCCATAAAAGCCTAACCAGATAGCTGAAGTGTATCTTTCCAGGTCCCCAGTTCTCTGCATGTCACCGTGAATGCCCGAAGACTTTGTAAAACTCGGGAGACAACATCGTCACATTGAATACTCTGGTCCAGTTGGCATTCCACAAAGAAAATGTACTGCCCCGGCCCTCTCTGGCTGGGTCGAGAATTGATGCTTGTTAGGTTGAAACCCTCAGCTTTAAATACCAACAGGGCATCCGCTAATGCTCCTGGTAGATCTTGGTTTATAGTGAACGAGAATAGTGATTTTCTTGCGGGTTTCAAAGTGGGTGCTTGTGCCGTACCACCACTTCTTACTTCTTCGAAGGAGGCTATCCGATTTGTATGGTCCGACTGGGTATTTTCAATGATGAGGAATCGTGTTTTGTTGCCATGATCATCCTCGATATTAGCTTCGGCGACCTCCACGCCGTGATATTCCGCCGCAAAACGGCTAGCGATGGCGGCACCATGCTCATCCTGTTTCTTCGCAACAATTTCGGCACCTTTCGAAGTCGAAGAGGTATCTTGCCTTTCGACGCCTTTGAAGTAGAGGGATAGGAACTTATCACATTGGCCCCATGCTTGCGGGTGAGTGTATAGTTTCTTGATGGAACCATAGTCTGGTCTAGCAAGTGGTGATATATCCTTTCGAATCAACAGACAGTGATGGACAGCTAGGTAATGCTCCCCACAAACTTTCACATCTTTATAAAGGCCTTGTCGATCCGCGAAAAGGTCAAATGTCTGCACTACTACCCCATTTGTTGAATTTTCAACTGGTATTATTGCATAGTCCACTTGCTGCTGTTGAACAGCAGCGAAGGCATCCGCAAAAGATGTTTGAGGTATTAGGTTGACCGAAGAACCGAAAACTTCCAGGGCAGCCTACAGCGCGAAGCAAGTTAGCATAGTTCATTCAGTGTTATTGACATAGCTACCCTAGGTAGTGCGGGGGGATTTTGATCTTTGTTCACTTTATGTGTGAGGGAATAGAATGCTGAGGTCTGACCTGGTGCGAAAAAGATGCTGGGGGACCCAGGAATGCGACCTGTAGTTGTTCCATTCTGGTATAATTGACCGGGCACACTACTTGGAAGATCGAAGATCTCAATCAGGCCGAGCGTGATGATCATTTTAAGCGGTACGGAATTCGACTAATCACCGCTCCGACTTCAATAACAACCAGTGCGGTACTATTATGGTCTACAGTGCTCAAACCCACGATATTTACTGCTATAAATTCTAAAAAGATGGTATAAAGATACGCTGCCCCGGACCAATTTCGCATTGGATTCCTGCCGAGTCCAAAATCAGGAAACCAAACCCCAGACTCGTCCCTGTCCAAGAATTTAACCATCAACATCTGTGGATGCAAACAAAGCAAACATCCTAACAGCTCCTACTAACTACGGAGTAGCTAACGGTTGTTGGTACTACCACGGATTTCCCTGACTATCACTGAGCATTATTACCCGTGGGTAATATGCCCTTTCTGAGAGGGAGGACTTTCTCTGCAACCAGCATGTTCTCAGCAAAGTGTGGACTTCTAGTATTATCAAGGGCTTCATCTTCGCTGTCAAAACAACTTCACCATGAACTGACATCAAGAACCATTCCCTTGTCATATGATTATTTATATCCTCAGCAATCCCATCTCCTGGATTTGACATTGTTGGAATCGCTCGAAAATCTAGTCGATTGCTCAAATGAAAGCAAATTGTCGACCACCTTACCCTCGATTAAGAATCCGCCTCGGATGCAGGTAGGTCACCATCTGGTTTACTTCCCTCCTCAGGTTGCGCTCTCTCAACTACTGCCCGACGGTACCGATACTCTACATTTCCCAGGGAGTCCCTTCAACAGTCGATTGTGGGCAGGTGGACGGGTAAAATTCCCCTTTCCTACCGGCATACTTTTGGACGGTCGACGTGCGGCATGCCTCGAAACAATTCAGGATGTGATAGTGCGCGGCCGGACAGGAGAAGAAAAAGTGATAGTCAAAATAGAAAGGCGAATGGGAACAGTGGAAGAAGGAGAAGAAGAAATTGATATCAGACAAAGACTATTGAGAGACGATGAAGAGCAGACTGGCAATGCCTTGATTGTGGAAAACAGAGACTTGGTCTTTTTGAGAAATAAGACTGAAGATCTAGTTAACCATGAAAATGATCGTTTGGACAGAACTACTAGAATTTTAAAACGTGTGTATCCTTACTTCTTACATAAAAATAAACGACGCTGACAAAATGGCACGGCTTCAAGCGCCCTCTAATGCTGAATTTCGTCACAAAATCAAGGCCAGCAAAGCTATGCTATTTCGCTTCTCAGCTCTCACATTCAATGCCCACTCTATCCACCTTGACAGGGCATATACTCAAGGTGTGGAGGGCCATCGGGACCTTCTTGTCCATGGGCCATTGACTCTAGTGCTGCTCCTATCGACTCTTCGGCGTTATCTGGCAGGACTTGAGATTGCTATCCAAGGGATCGAGTACCGTAACCTGACCCCGCTCTTTGTTGACGAAAATTTTGCGGTATGTGGAAAGCCCAAATCAGGCGCACTGGCTGGAACCTGGGATGTCTGGATCGAGAATATGAGCGGAGGCCTTGCCGTTCGAGCAACTGTGCATACTGCATTGGTCGAACCGGACAAAACAGTAAATACAATACCCTAAGCGCTATATCTACCATATATACTATCGAGTGGCATACATTTCCATATAAATGAGCAATTGACATCTTTTTTCCGCTGTAATAATCGATGATGCTATAGTCATGTGATCACTCTCGCCTTGACTCTTGAGTGAGTAATATTAAGAAAAAGAGAAAAAGGCCAGAGCAAAACCAAGCCTTCTAGATACCTTAACTAATAGTAGTTACCAAATTATTGCTGCGTATATTCATGGAGAATATTATTATCGCTATCCATTGTCACTGAAGCATAAAACTAAAGTGCCTTAGGCACTAACTGGCTAGCTAAAATCACGTGTGTCTTGTGGCAGCGTATTAGGGATGTAAAATTAAAATTTCAATTTCATGAAATTTGGAAAATTTTTGCTTAGTCATCTGAAATATCATTTTGGGCTTAAAATTTTAATCTTACTAATAAATTATATAGCTTATTAAAAGTATGGAGGGCCCAAAAAATTTTTATAATTAAAATAATAAAAATTAATAAAGAAAGCATGAATAATACTAGTGACCCTAGTGCTCAACGTCGCTAGTTGCCCATATCTCAATGTGGCCTAGGTGCCCAAGTTCCCCTAGTGCTTGACGTCGCCAGTTGCCTATATCTTAATGTGGCCTAGGTGCCCCAATGCCCTGGTGCTTGACGTCGCCAGTTGCCCATGGCGTTGAATCTGCTAAGACCCCTAGCTGCGTGGAAAGTGGGCAAGTCTAGGTGGCCTACTTTATATAGCAAATAACGCCCAGGTGGGCTTACGCTATATAAAAAGTGCTCCCCCCTAGTAGACTCCGGGCCCAGGAGCGTTTGTTTGCATGATTGGGGCCTAATTAGGGCCAGTGGATATATAGAGGGAGTAGGGGGATTAGTAGGGGCACTAGGGGCCGTCAACTAGCATATTAATATACTAGATGCCGTTGATTAGTGCTCTAGGGGGCATCTTAGGGGGGTTGACGCTAGCGACGACATGGGATCTGGGCCGTTGGCCCTGGAGATTCGCGTTGTTGGCCTAGTATTAATACCATCTTAGGGGCGTTGACGCTACTGACGACATAGGATCTAGGCCGTTGGCCCTAGAGATTCGCGTTGTTGGCCTAATATTAATGCCATCTTGGGGGCGTTGACGCTGTTGGCGACGTGGGCTCTAGAGGATGTTGATGCCATTGGCGACGTGGGCTCTAGGGGATGTTGACGCCGTTGGCGACATGGGCTCTAGGGGACGTTGACGCCGGCGATGATATGGGCTCTAGAGGACATTAATGCTATTAGCGACATGGGCTCTAGGGGATATTGACGCTGTTGGCGACGTGGGCTCTAGGGGATGTTAACGCCGGTGATAATATAGGCTCTAGGGGACATTAATGCTGTTAGCGACGTGGGCTCTAGAGGATATTAATACTATTGGTGATATAGGCTCTAGAGGATATTAATACTATTAGTTTAGTAACTACTAGGTCTCCTAAATATAAAGATACTAAGTATTATACTAAGTAGTATTAATATTGTGATATTCGAAAGCTAACGGTCTCTCCGAAATCTCTGTTCTATCGCTACCATGGGTCAGAGGGAAGGTATCTATATACCTCCCCTTAGCTTATTAAAAGCTGAGCGACCTGGTGGCGATAGAACTCTATAGAATTGATTAATCCCTGGTATAGAGTGAAAACTCTATATAACCGCTCCACCAGGGTCAGGAGATTTCGCGTCGTTGGTGAGCAGGCACCTTGGCGTTTCGCCAAGGTGATCCTGCTCATGGCCACGCGGGAGTTTATAATATCACTCACTCGCGATATCATATCCTCCCCCACCTGACTAAAACTTTGTTTATGAAGTCCTAATCCTCCCTCTAAGACCTCATTAAGATGAATTAGCTGTCAACAGGCGATTTGCTGGTCCTGTCTAATAAGGGCCTGAGGTTAGTAAATAAAGACTTGTTCTTTAATCACTTTATTGATCGCCCACTAACTAATGGGGGGTCGCCCGGTCCCGGGCGAGGGCGCGGGGTATATCTATAATTGCCGTTGCTAGGTGACCTAGCAACCTCTTTATTTATGATGAAGGATATATCTCTTTACTTATCTAGTGGCGATTCTTCCTTCGCTCCCCCTCTCGCCATTATTACTTCTTATAACTATCCCCTACTAATGGCTTCCGACAGTGAATTTGGGGACTCTAAGTCTCTTATCTGGCGCTCTTGTCGCGGGTCTAATTATTCTTATTATTTATTAAAGGTTAAGCGTCTAGTACCTCCTAGGACTCCTTTACCGCCTGCTGAGGAGTCTCCCCCTCAGCCTCCATCAGGCTCTTGTCGTTTAAAGCGGGTTGCGGATTATGGTGGTCCGGCGCCCATTACTCACCGTGAGTTTATTGATCTAGAGGGTGAGACGTGGCTAATAGTGATAGAAACTAAACTTCCCTTAGAGGCGCATGTGACCTCCTTTAATGATCATAAGCTCATTTGTTTATTCCCCGCCGTTCATGCGCACCAGGACTTCTTCTAGGGCGGCTGGGCGTTAGTCCTGAGCCACATGTTAAAGCTCTCTGCCGCTATTATTTTTAAGTGGGGACCTATAGCGGCTAACCCTTACTTAAAATGTGCCTATAGCAATAGTCCCTAGACTGCCTGTGTCACGCCTCCTATTAAGGAGCTCAATGGAGATAAGTATTAGGTTTGCTATACTAAGGCATATACAAACTGTCTCTTCTATAATAAGGGTACTAATTATAACTTGTGTTCATTTCTCCTAGGTCTTTTTGTTGCTGGTCGCTAACATGTCGCAGGTGTCAACTATAATAGTAATAAAGAGTAGGGGAAGAAGGATAAGTGTAAGAAGTAGCAAAAGAGAAAGAAGGTTAAGAAGGAGAGGACTTTATCGCCTACTACTCTTATTACTCCTATCACTCCTACTGCTCCTGCTACTGATCTAGTATTAGCTATTATGCTTTCTACTATTCTTTTAGCCTTACTAAACCTGTCATCTACTGCTGGTGCTGGCGCCGCTTTAGCTAGCTTATAATTAAGTGCTCTTATTATCCTAGCCATAGAGGGGGCTTAGTTGACTCCTCATTAAACTATCCTAGGTTCTACTCCCCCGAAGGTGTCGCTCTAGCGTTTAACTATTTCTTATGAGGAGATGGCGCGTTGTTTTAGGGAGTTTCCAGTTCTTCACTCCAACTTCGCGGGTTAGAAAGTTGGGGAGACTATGGATGCTCGCCGGGAGGGTCTAATTAATAGTTCCCTTTAACTTATTAATTATAATAATACCCCCCTTATTGTTCCATTTCCCTTATTGAATACTGATATTAATAATTTACCAAAGATTTGTCGGGCCATCATAAATATGCATTAGTAAGTGACCGCCCTTAAGGCTTATAAGGATATGTTAGTTGCTGCCGCCGCTGCAGAGAAAGAGGAGGAGGAGGATCTATAGGGGGAGTATCTTTTATATATAAAAAAGTATTATTATAAGGAGTGATTAGCGTCCGCGTCCTGGGGTGTTATTATTAGCTCTTTATAGTTAGTCTCTTTTCTTTAGTAAACTCTATAATAAATTTCTTCTTAGTGTCTTTTGGTGCTCTTTAAGGGGTAATCTCTTTATCCCTTATTCGCATAATTAGGTGTAGGCCTTTTTTATTGTTCCTGCCTTCTTGCCTCATCTCATGATTAATTAGATGACTACTATAAATAGTCTGTTAAAGTTGATGCTGTTCCGGGCGTTAGCGTCCCGCGGTCTAGGGTTAGTCTTTTAGTCATCCCTATTACTATAGTTGTCTTTAGACATGTTATCGTTAGATGTCGTTTTCTCGGATGCCTCCTATTTAGAGGTGCTCTCTAAGGAGATTAATGTCGTCCTCTATTGGTCCCTTTATTATTAGGTTACTATCTTTATTAAGGGGTTTTATTTCTTTTATTATGCCTTCTGCTGAGCCTTTTTAATCATGTGCTCTATAATAGTATTATTATTAATATCTTCGCCAACCTCTCCCCCCCCTATTCTTAAGTATTCCCCTAAATGCTCTGTCGTCCGTCGTCTCTCTGCCGCCACTCACTTTTTCTTTATAATTATTAATAACTCTTTATAGGAGGGCGGCAGTGGTTCCTATTCCTCTAGGATTTTTCTTATTTTAATTAGGTGCTGAAGTGTGATACCCTACTAGCGCAGTGCCTATTACATCGCCACCGACATCTATAGCTGGCTTGGTTTATCCACCTTAGTGGCGATTAATTACTAACTATTAATTAGGTTTCGCAGCACTCATCCGCCGGGTTCTTTGAGGGTGTATATACCTAAGGGGTGCGTTTTTAGCACCCTATATAGACTGAACCACTTGCTCTCCAGCTTCTTTAGTGATTTATTCCTAACTAACACCTAGTCGCCTTTTTTAAAGCCTATTTTTATTACTAGGCTGTCGCGCACTATCTTCATCTTTATCGCGCGGTTTAACAGCAGCTCATTCACTAGTAATTAGGCATGGTTAACCTACTGAAGCCATTCCTCTGCCTCTATAAGGTTGCCGTTTGCCGGTCCCTTATTATTATTACCTAAGATGTGGGGGTTGACGCCGTATAGGAGGTAGAAGGGGCTTTTTCCTGTTACCGCGTGGGTCTATATGCGTGCGGCGAAGAGGGCCTATAGGAGGTATTTATTCTAGATCTTTATTAGTTTCCCCATGACATACTTTATGAGCATTTAACCTAGGAGGCTATTAAGGTTCTTAACCTTGCTGTTTGTCTGCAGGTGATATAGTGTCGTTATCTAGTATCTTATTCACAGGATCTTTAGATAGTGTTAGACTACCACTATAAGCAAGTTGGGTCCATTATCTAACAAGAGCTCGCGAGGGGCGCTATAATTTATAAAGACTTTATTATATAGGAATTTAGTGATCGCCTCTGCCATGCCTTCTAGGACTGCGCGGGCCACTAGCCAACCTATTGCGTACTTAATTGCTATAATGATCTATTAATTACCATTAGGAGTCGGTGGCAGG